GGAACTCAAGCAGGTCCAGCTGCTACGATTTAATCTACGAGAGAAACTTTAGGATGTTTATAATGATTGAAACACAAAACTCTATTCATGGTTTGCATTTTATACATATTTTCTGAGATTCGGCCTGATGCATTTGGTATCTCTGGAAACTTTGGGCTCTCGCTAAGATTTTTAAAAATAAAGCCATGTGGGTGTGAAGGGTGCTTGGCTGCACCGTCCGAGTTTGTACTGACTGAAGCTCCCGTTGGCAAGACGGCCGGACTGAAAACATTCGTGGTATGACAGGCTGTTGTTCTGCACACAGTCCAACGGTGAGGATCTTCTATAGCTGCTCTATAGCTGCTGTGATGATGATCCGGTCGGCCTTTTTTTAATCAGAAAAGAGCAGAAATGATCGGACAGGACATGCAACAAGAGTTAAAGCACCCACACCCTGAATTAAAATGCAGATCACATAATCCGTGACCATGAATAAGGGTGAATCTTGGCTCGTGCGAGATGAAACAGAAGAGGTGCCATTTGCTGACACACAGACTTTGGTATGTTATTATTTGACTTGTTTACTGTCATGACTTCATCCTCCTTAAGAGCTGAAACCGAACCAGCTGGGAAGCCACAGGCCACGGGGGCATTGCATCCCTGCAGAGAGCGCAGCGGAACATATAATTACAGCAACTGCACCACAGAAGAACTCCAGGAATGAAATCAACATCTCTCAGCGTCCTGCTCGTGCAACATGGTTAATAGTGTGCACTCATGAAGCACTTTTCTACCTCAGCAGTACTCAGAGCTCTGCCACTTAGTAGAGCTGCTCAACAAGGCACCATCGGGGGTTCGTTGTTTTGCCAAAACACACTTCAGCATGTGGAGGGCATCGAACCACCAGCTCCTCCGTTAGTGGACAGCATGGAGAGCTGGAATGAGTTCATGACAACGTGCATGTTTCAGGACAAAGGAATGGGCTCAGCTTCAATCTGGGAGGTTATATTTTCATGCAAAGCAGTAAATCACTCTGACGTACCGAGGGCGTTGTGTTATCCTACTCAATTCTCCATCTGCAATAGATTTACAAGAACATTTTGCATTTGTTTGAGACATTACACATACAGTTAGGGGGATTTATGAGTCAGTAAGACATGTATTGTAATAAGCTGCCGGGCTGATCACTCACGAAGGGGTACGTTTTTATTTAGGTCTTAAAACATGGCACCCTAATTCAACTTTATGCACACTGTAGGGGAAGAGAGGCGTCTTTATACTGACAGGAAGGCCTCTCAGCCAATCAGGTTTCAAATACAAGCTTATCTTTTTTTCTCTAATCTATGTCAGTTATGATTTATTCTACCAGCTGCTGTGGGGAAGAGATGTCTGGAGAAACACAGCAAGATAATTAACATCACTCTCAAAATAAAAAGGCTAAAAGCTAGATGATATATATGAGCAGAGTTCATAGTGAGGGTTCACTGGTAGCCGAACAGGACTTGTAATTGTAATTGAGTATTTTTATGATGCTATATTGATAGTTTTTTATTCTTTTAAATGAACTCTATTTAAATTTTATATTGTTTGCTGGGGATGTGTACTTTATTGTGAAGTTTCCTGGAGGACAGGAAGCTGTGTGAGTCCTTCCTGCCGCTGGCTGACGGTGCAGGCTGCAGCTGTGCGCCCTGCCCCGGTTCCTTCATTCCCACCAACATCCCGCATGTTGGTCCAACATGTGAGCTGCAGAGGGAGGCTGTGAGGATGAAGGTCTCTCCACAACTGCACTGATTTCTTATTTATTTTTATTTTTCTTATTTTTTTTATAAAACCAAACTCGATATGAAACGCATGGATTATGGATCGGATGTGGATATTCTGCCAGGTCCTACTTGTTGTGCGTGTTTGCGTGAGTTCGTCGGTGCGTGATGAGGACGACGCGTCCTGCGATGGAGCGTTTGATATTTATTTTGTTCTGGACAAGTGAGTTATTGGAGGCAGAGTGAAATATTCAGTGAATGTCATGTAGAGCAGAGACCCTGTTGGACTGAGTCCTCTCCATGTAAGGCTGTGTTTAGTTTCTGCTGTGCTGCAGTTTATTTTAATCTTAGTAGGTGCTTGGAGATGGTTCCCTTTTATAGCCGCAGCCTTTCCTCAATGTGTTGTGTTGTTATCATCAGCTGTGGAAAGTAAATAAGTACATTTACTCAAGTACTGTGCTTGAGTGGAGAGTTTTATTTGAGTTTTTCTATTTTATTCTTCCACTCTACTGTATTTCTGATGGAGATATTGTCCTTACTACGCCATTATGTTTATTTGACTGGATTAGATATTATTAAAATAAAGATTTCACACAACAGGCTTTAAAAAACACAACATTGTTAAAGTTTAAACCAGTGGTTTCCAACCTACATGGCTTCTGTCATCTTACAGGAAGCGTTGTGAAGACAGTTCAGATGTCTATGAGCTGTTAACAGCTTCACTAAACTCTTCTTGCATGCTTTAATGTCAACACAAGTGATCCAATATCTCTCCAAAAATTAAAGTTTTAACAGTCTAAAAAAAGCTGTGAACAGATTTGTGCGTCAGAACTTTAATTTGTCTTCTCGTCTCTCCCGTCAGTCATGTCCAGACCCCTCACTGTAATATTTTGTTAAAATGAATATAAAGTATTTAGAAGCAGCTCCACCTGCAGCAGCTGTAACACTGACCTGCTGTTGACACACTGAAGCTTCAGTATTGATAATCTAATGACATCTTAAATAATAACTTATCAGTCAGAGGGACCAAACCGGTGCTTAAACTACAATTTTGCTATTAATACATTAACTGAAGACTTAAGACTCTTACATGTAGTCGAATATTTTTATAGTATTTTATTGTTAATTTTGCCAAAGTAAAGAAAGTAAAAACTTCTTCAACATCTGGTTAATATGTAAAGCTAATTTCTTCACAGACTTCCCAACAACAGCACATTTAACTAATTCTTTTCTGTGTTTGTCATCAAGCGCCAATAAAATAAACTGACCAACACCCTTTCTGTTTATTTTGCAGGTTTTGTTCCCCAAAAATCTGGCAAAATGTAAAATTTCTACATGAATCTCAGTATTTTTAGATCTGATGTGCACATCTGGCTCCTTTTGTTTTGTCTTAAGTGTTAAACTTATTAAATTTCCTCCTATTTGCTCTTTTATTTCTGCTTATTTTTTATCTTTCTACTCCCTGAACAACACCTAAAGCAGCATCAGAACTTTAGTTTTATAGATTAGACAGATAATATAAGTGATATAAATCAGATTAAATTGATTTGTGTTGACTCTCTCTCTAACTGGTACTTCAGTGTTCGGATGCGTTTGATTGTTCACTCTGTTGCTGGTTTGTGCAGGTCGGGCAGCGTGTGGGGCCACTGGGACGAGATCTTTGGGTTTGTGGAGCAGCTCACCAGCAGGTTTGTCAGGTGAGTGTTTCATGCATTTAGGTTTTAAAGCTGAAGTAATCCCTCTTTATTCTGTGCTGCACCCTCCCAGAAAAAGCCTCAAAAAATAATTCAAAACTTTATATACCCCGTTTAGACGAGCGCTCTGCGTGCAGACAGCGGAAATAAAAAGGAAACGCAGACTATTTACACAGCAGAGAGTCAGAATAGGTCTTTAAATTACAGTCGTAGTGAACAGAAAGTAGGGCAGGCCTATTTCAGGCAGCAGACATCATACAAGGCCACCAACTGCTCCAAAACCCCTCTGGGTAATAGCACGGAGGGCGTGTGTGATATCTTTAGGTTTAATAGCAGGGCGCTGAATAGGAGAACCAAACAAGCAGCCAGATGTTGAAGGTGGTTCTGACCACAACAGACAGAACCGAGTCCGTTCACAGGCAGGCAGCGGCTCTGTTAGTGGTTCTGTTAATGCTGAAGTTTCACTCAGACATGAAACGCTGCTTCATGTGCTGTAAGTTTAATAATAGTTGTGGTTTTATTAGTTTACGTTGTGGCTTCTCTGCTTTCTCACGTCGTGGAGTTTGATGTCATTTCATCAGCGTCGTCGTATAACCTCATGTTGAATGTATGACTTCACTACACTTTGTCTCATCATATGATGTATGAAATGCAGTTTTAGTTTATGTTATGTCATGTTTTGTGCATCATATTGTTCATCACTGTCATGTAAAGTGAGAAAAGCATTTTGTTGGTTGTTTGCATTGATGTGAAATTTGCTTTTCTGGTGACACACATGACCTTAACATGTACACCAGCACGTGTAGCTTCTAATCCTAGAACCGATCTCCTCATGCTGTCTGTGTGTCTCTCAGCCCCAGAATGAGGGTTTCCTACATCGTCTTCTCAGCTCGAGCCGTCGTGGTGCTTCCACTGACCGGAGACAGGTACGCATTACCTTTCTGCTTCTGTCTCTCTCTCCAACTCTTCATCCATCTTCCAACATCATCACACAGAGACTTTTAGATCTTTTCTATTCGTGTGGTCTGTGTTTTGTGATCCGGCTCCGCAGGTCGAAGATCGACGAGGGTTTGAACGAGCTGAGCCAGATCACTCCAGCCGGTGAAACGTACATGCATGAAGGCCTGAAAGCGGTACATGAACACACCTGATATTGCAATTGCAGCCACAGATTGTGATTCTTGCACAGCTGATTATGTATTTACTGCAACTTCTGTAATATTTTCAGTGACACTGTCATCAAAAGTCTGAAAAAATCTATCGTACAACAACTGTGGATGCTGTGTCTTGTGCATATTGGTCCATTTTATCATATATTTTGCTGTATATTCTGGTTTAGTGAAGGAATGCATCGGTTTGGTAGGAAATCCTCTAAGTTAACGTTCCATTATCAGGTGTCGGAGCAAATGAAGACGCAAACTTCACCGACGTCCAGCATCATTATCGTTCTGACTGACGGCAAGCTGGACGTGTACCCGTTTGAGCTGAGTGTGAAGGAGGTAAAACACAAACTACTGAAGATAAATCTAATGGTAGAGGGACTGTCAGACGATCACGATGCTCATCCTCATGGTGTTTTCTATTGTTTTTAACTCAAGTACAGCAAGAAAAATAATCTGAAGACACTTGAAACAAGCTCCTCTGTAAACATCACGTCCACTTTTAACTCAGTTTGTGGGTTTGCTGTTGATGCTGTTCGTTGTTTGGAGACACGCTGACACATGCACTCCTCACATTGTTCCATCCGTTACAACACAACACTCTGAAGAGTCGCTTGTTGGTGTTCGTATCAAGTTGCACGAACTGCCCAGCGAGAAGCAAAACACGAACCGCTGTAACACTTTAATGCATGCTTTGGGAATTTGTGGAGCCGTAACAATAAAACATGTTTGATCATTTGATCTCTCATCAGTTCCAGCTCATCTGAGTACATAAATACGGACGAGATGTGTGTCAGCAGAAGCACAACTTGACTCTGTGTGTTGTGGTTCCCAGGCTGACCGGGCCAGAGGCTTCGGAGCCAGAGTGTACTGTGTCGGGGTCATGGACTTCGACCACAAACAGGTAGGAGGGCTTCAGTTTGATCCTGTTATCAGCCTCTTCCTGGCCTCTGAATGCCGGGCAGCGCTGTGAGAGAGAACTGTCCCGGTTACCGATACTGTTTCTGTTTAAACACGGCGGTTTTATTTGTCTTTCTGTGTGTGTCAGTGTGTGTTAGGTTGTGTTGTTTCTGGCCCAGGTTTGTGAACACACCTTGACCTCGTTGCTCAGTTCAGCTGAAGCCTCGTGGGGAGCCGACAGGGATTCAGAGTTTAGGATTCGTTTGTTTTAAAAACAGCGAATGCATCGACAATAAAAGTCAGTTCAAGCATCATCTCTGCATTGATTTATTAAAAAGTTGTGAGTTTTGGTCACCAGAACCTCTCCCAGGACTCAAACTGATGCAGACGTGATGGATGTGTGCGGAAATGGACTTTTTTTTTCAATAAGTTGGACATGTGAGGGATTTGATCCCAAGCCGCTGGCGTGCATGTTGCCTTTTATTCAGCATATTTTAAGTTTTCATTTCCTGGGAGAGACTTTGATTTCTTCCTGTCAAGGCATTAGTTGTTGAAGGACAGTAATGAAAACACTCAACACAGTATGACGAGGATGAAACCCAGTACGTCCTCAAAGTCGTGTTTCACGGCGGGTAAGAATAATAAACCCATATGTCTTCTGCTGATTGGAGGAAACACAAAGGAAATCGAGCTGTTATCCCACAAACAAGCACATTATCTGCTGTGATATGGGATCTCTTCTACACTCAACATCACATCATTATTACAAGTGAGATTTACAGCACAGAGGAAAACTGTAATTGCATTTGTTGAGAATGACAAAACGGCCATATTTCATTCAGAGTGGCGTCGGTTGTTGCTCAGCTTCTGCCCTGAACCCGTCCTGTGTTTGTATTCCAAAGCTTATTCATGTTATTATTCCTCATAACCAGTATTAATAAGTTTATCTGACAACGTGTGACCTGGAAGACTTCAGTAGTCAGTAGCTGCAAGTGATTTTTTGACCTGACCACACGCCTCTGTGGTCCAAAGAGGAAGCAATTACATCACTCTCTAATTAAATAATGCCAGACAAACTTCCTGCGCTGCCGTCATTAAAGCAGGAGATGAAAGCTTCAGCCAGCTGCCCAAAGCTTTCATCTCCTGGAAACAGGCTTTCCCTCCCTAAATGCTACCGAACGTCACCGAGACGCTGAAGCTCGTGTTCTGTACGTGGACGATAAACAAACTGTTTTGTGTTTGGTCGCAGCTCGCTGAAATAGCAGACGGCACGGAGCAAGTCTTTCCAGTTCTGTCCGGGTTTCATGCCCTCAAAGATATCGTCAACACGGTGAGGTCACGTGATGGACAATGACATGCAGAAACATTCACGCTGTGTGGAGGTGATTTATTATGCAGCTAATCACCATCTGAGCTTCATCCTGTTTCACAGGTCCTGAAGCAGTCGTGCTCTGAAGTTTTCACAATAGAGCCGTCGAGCGTTTGTGTGAATGGTAAGATCCAACATGTCCATGTGTTGTTTTTATACGAGCAGTCAAGACCATGACTCAGGGTCGGATTATCGAGTCACGACTGTATATTGTAAGGTACATACAAGGCCTTAGTAGGGATGGAGTGATTTTAGGGCATAAAGGGAATTCATGGAAAAAAATACTTTATTCATATATAACTTTGACACAACGATAAAAGTTTTAAAAGGTTTAAATAAATGACCTGAGAGGACTTTAATGTGTCAAACTAATTCTTTAGTCGTGCTAGATGGCAGTAGGGATGTCAGTTGTTTGGTCCAGACAGCAGTCTGTCCATATGACTATCAAACAGATGACTACGTAATGATGAACCAACCTTCATGATCTCCAGACGATGAATCTTAATGATACCTGAGCTTTAGTGTCACCATTTGTTTGACATTTGTGTGATGGACCTTCCTGTTAGGATCGTTTCTAACGACCTCAGTGATTCTCTGACTTTACATCTAACACCATCATCAACTCAAAAAATAGTGCTAGCTAGCTAATATTAGCATGCTAGCCTTCTAAATTTAAATGGTGACCATGCCAAACATCACTCGGCTGTGTTAGTGCTGTCGCTGCCAGTATGTAAACGTGCAGGCGGCTGACAAATTAGAGGAAAACGCAGCATCGAGTGTCTCAGTGAGGTGTTGGGCCACCACGAGCCACCAGACAGGTCGACAAGTGGAGTCGATCCATGGCACCAATAGGACCCCACATCATAACAGAGCCACCAGATTCCCTCACTGTTGGGGTCCAGGTTCAGGTTTTTCCTTTAATTTGTCAGCCGTCTGTGCATGTCAACTTATTTTCTGCTCAGTGATTCCTGTTTCTGTTTACGTCTGTTTGAACTCGCTGTCACAGCTGTGTCTGATGTTTCCCAGAGTCGTTCGACGTGGTTCTGAGGGGCAGCGGCTTCAGCGGATCAAAGAGGACCGACAACATACTCTGCTCCATCACTTTCAATCAAGTGGCGCACAGTGAGTGAACGACACACTGACACGGTCGAGCTCCAGAGGTCGGCTGATATGTAGCTCAGCTGGCGTTTAGATGAATTCACTTGTTGCAGCGCCAGAGGAATGAATAAATGCTGGAGGTTCGCTTCACGCTGGTGCTCCAACATGCACCTACATGGTGCTGCTCTGCAGTCTGGACATAAAACCATCTGTGATATGGAACGATGTGCAGATCGCTGTGCTGCAGTGGAAAGTCAGAGTCACGAAGCAAACAGTGGCGGCTTTTTGTTGACTTCGGCCGGAGAACAGAGGAGATATTATGAGGCCGAGCAGAGAGAGGGAGGAGATGTTCTGCTCTCATTAGTCTATTAACGGATCAATAGCAGGGAGGGGTTGAGCCGGAGTCACAGGGAGGACATGAAGAGACAACACAGGACTGGAGCTTCACTTCACAGTTCTGCTTTTAATCTCTACTGCTGATTTACTTCTGATTGCTTTGCTTTGATTTTTCACTCCTATCTGTGATATTTTCTAGTAAAAAAAAGCCAAAAATTCCAAATAAATTCTGAAGATAAGTTTTAATTTAAATAGACACGACGACACTAAAAGCTTAAAAACAGCCAAGCAAGTTCATTTTTTCAGTTTATTACATCCACCAATCGATTTGCACACACAGAATGACAGACAGGTGCATTTCCTCTTTGCTAATGTGAAATTAGATTATGGATCTGTGCTACAAGGAGTTCAAACCATTTCCCAGCAGAGCACCAGAAGGATAAACTGTTCTGCCGTTTCTGCTCCCTGGTGAATTATTTATATGTGTTTTGTATATTTTTTTCTCCTTTATAAGCAACAGCAGCTCTCACAGTTTTTCTGTGTTTCTCCTCAGATCAGAAGCCGACAGTGGTCAGAGATGGTTATCTGCTGTGTCCTGCTCCGGTTCTGCACGAGGTCGGACAGTAAGTCACAAAACCCTGCGGTGCTGCAAGTCCAAACATTAAATGATATATATGGCATTGTATAGTCACAGTCCGTTGTTATTTTAAGGTAATGATGTGCAGTTGGAATCACCCACAAAACAAACAGAACCCACAGGAATGTGTTAATGACACCGAGCTCTGGTTTGGCCTATGAGAGCAGTGAAAGCAGCCGCCGTCATGCACGAGCACATGATCTGGTTTTTGTTCTAAATGTTCTCTTTCTATTTTCTTTGTTGGACAGTAAAACCCTTGAGATCAAAAATAACACCGAGCATCGTGAGCTCGTTGCTTTTCTCTCACTGTCGAGTTTGTTCTGAGCGTGTTCACCTGAAAAAACCCACAAATCCAGTTACGATCATTACTCAGCATGACGTGATCTTATCTAGACGAGGAAATCAGCTGATTACATTTACTCGACTTAATTTGAGTTGTTCTGTACTTCCACGACGCTTCATAATCAGAGACTGGAACACTGTGCTTTCACTCCACTACATTTATTTGATCACTTTAGTTGCTTTGCAGATTTTACTTTAATCATACAAAATATAACGAACAAATAAATGATGTCTAAAATTAAGATTAAACTTTATTGATCTCCAAGAAGAAATTTACAAGCTACCCAGCAGATGAACTGCACAAAGTAGTTCAATAATCAGCTTGAATATTAAAGTTATGAACACATGAAGGCATCAATAATTAAAATAAATAATGTGCATCATTCTAAAATAAGCCATTCTGCATATTGGGAACTTTTTTTTAACTTTAAATATAGATCGATGCTAATATTTTTATACTTTTAGTTAAATAAAAATCTGAATGCATGACTTGTATCAGTGTATTTCTACACTAAGGTAGTGCTACTTTCACTCAAGTTCTAGATCTGAGTACTTCTTGCACCTCTGATCTTACAGCATCACTACCTCTGCGTTTCTCTGACAACAAGCTTTTTACTGATGAAGTTCATCACTGAAGGGCAACAACGGACTCACGTTAGCAAAACACTTAACGAAGCTGCTGGATCACAAATGTGCTCTTTGCATTAACGAGCAACAGAAGCATCTTTAGCTCCGCCCACAGTGTGCCCAATGCCAACCACAGAAAGACTCCTGAAACAGCCACAGCTCATCCAAATGACTTCAAACTCGACACAGCGCTTCCTTGGTTCTCCTGTGATGGACCTGCTGAGTGTGAAGTAGATCAGATGTACACATGTGAAGATATGAAAACAACACACACACACACACACACACACACACACACATTCCTTCCTTTCTGCGTAACACTGATATGATCGATGTCATCACTCTGAATAAATTACAGCTATTAAATAATATTTATGTCCTCAAACCCCAGTTTAATTCAATGACATTTTATTTATGTATATTATTGAGGTCAAGTCCTCACGGTTTTATGGAGAGAAACCAACAATCCCCAAACAATCAGTCAGTGTCACCACGTCTTCCTTTGTCTGGTAATGAAACTGGATCCATGTGTGTAATGGAGACAGAAACGAGTGTTTACAGTAACATGGATGAGCTGAAGCCCGTCTGACCAGAATATCTCTGTGGCATTTAGAGAGAGGAACAAACCTGATTGGACCTCAGACACTTCCATCAGCTTCTATCAGCCTCTATCAGCCTCTATCAGCCTCTATCTGTCTCCTGTCACCTCTCATGTCTCACCCACTAGTTCCTACAGAAACAATCTCAGTCCAACCTGCAGCTCAAATCAAACTGCATTTAACTGGTGAATAAGGAAATCTGGTCAGAACTTGATAAGAATAAATGAATGGCAGCGACTTCCTTTTTCAGTGACTCAGTGTTTTGGATGATTTTGGAACAAGGAAACTGGCAAAGTTACCTTCAATCCTTAATCTATCATTAAAAAATGATTCAAAAACTGCTCCTTTTTAGTTTTATTTAAGAGGTCAATAACAAATGATAGCCCCGAGTAACACGCTGCTTCAGTTTTGGAGTTTTGTGCCCGGCGGTGAACTGGATGATGTTGATATTCTCATGGGCTGTAAGGTGGATCAGTGGTTAGCAGCGTTGCCTCACAGCTAGAAGGTTGCCAGTTGGCGTCCCGGTGAGGACACCCGGGATCTTTCTGCGATGATGGATGGATGTTGTACATTTTATTCCACTACTTTTATCTGACAGCTGTAGTTTAATTTATAACAAATTAAAAAATCTATTGTGATATAACGAATGATATAAAATGCAATGAACTGGTTTACAGACACTTGATGTTGTATGAAGTTAAATCAGCTAGATGCAATGTTCATACAATAATAAAAGCATGAATACTTTTACTAACTTTTGCTGATAATACTTTCATATAATTAGGGTTTGTAGTGTTGTACTTTTACTTATATTTGAGCTGTCGTGTTGCGTTTACCTTTAAGTAAAACATCAGATTAATGAGCAGCATCTATAATCATCATCTTCCTCTGATGTTTTGGTTTTTTGGTTTCTGCTTGATGATTACAGATCA